AGGGCCTGAGGGAGTATTTCAGCAAGTTTGGAGACATTAATGAAGTGATGGTTATGAAGGATCCCACCACACGGCGCTCCAGGTTAGTTTCTTTATATATATAAAGGGAGTTATGTTGTAGGTCAGACGACGTTTCGGTCTTATAAACCTTCTACTCGTGTTATTTTTACAAGTCAATGATCACGTGAGAAATCATGACAGCACTTGTAAGTTCACTATTTTTTCACATTGGTTGTTTTCCATATTGTGATAACAATTGTTTACATATATGTCGTGCCGAATAGGTAAAATTGGTCAATTAGCAAGAATTCATTTAAAATTAAGTCCTCTCTAAAAGCTTCTCTTATGCGTTCAAATATATATTTTTTTTTTCATTTATGTTAATGTAAAAAATAATAATTTTGTACCTAAAGAACCTTAGAAAACTTACCTAACCTTATTATAACAAGTGCAATTTAATTTAGATTAATCCAACTAAATATATTTTAGTAAGTTTACAATAATTTAATAATAAACAAACACAATGAAATATATTTTTTTTTCGTTAGGTGCAGAATAATTTTTGCGAAATTATTGCATACACAAATTTTCGCTTGCCTTATTCGGCAAGAAGAGTGTTGCTATTTAAGCCAAAATCGCAAGTTTTACTTAATCGGCACACACACAAATATATATAATATATATATATAATATATATATATATATATTATATATATATATATATATATATATATCGTGCCGAATATGTAAAACTGGTCAATTAGCAAAAACTCATTTAAAATTAAGTCCTTTCTGAAATTTTCTCTTATACGTTTAAAGATATATTTTTTTCATTAATGTTAATGTAAAAATTTTTAATTTTGCACCAAAAGAATCTTAGAAAACTTACCTAACCTTATTATAACAAGAACAATTTATTTTAGCCTAACCCAACTATATATATTTTAAATACGTTTACAATAATTTAATACTAAACAAACACAATCAAATATATATTTTTCGTTAGGTTCAGAATGGTTTTGGCGAAATTATTGCATACACAAATTTTCACTTGTCCTATATGGCAAGATGAGCGTTGCTATTTAAGCCAAGATCGCAAGTTCTGCCTATTCGGCACGACATTTTATATATATATATATATATATATATATATATATATATATATATATATATATATATATATATATATATATTATATATATTATATTTACCTGGAGTTTACCTGGAGAGAGTTCCGGGGGTCAACGCCCCCGCGGCCCGGTCTGTGACCAGGCCTCGTTATTAATATTTTAACGTTTTAATGCGCTTGTAAATCTAGACATCATAAAAGGCTTGTTATTAAGAACTCTCCTCAGTAGACTAATGAATGTTGTCTACAAGATCCCATGTACAAAACACAACAAATTTTTACCCATCAGAACTACAGCAGGAATAATATATCACTAGAAATTGCTTGGAGTGGAATGCAACCTTCATTCATGGAGATTTTTGTCTGTGATGGACTGAACACATCGACTCCAGGTTGAGGGACTGATTACCTCATTCTCCTCCTCTCCTTACGCCTTCCTCTTTGTATTGGACTGATGAAGCCACTGTGTGGCGAAACGTTTCCTGAATAAATATTCCCATATGCTGCATAAGTGTCTCAATCTTCAGATTTTTGTCTATTGAATGGTCAAAAATTGTTACCTGTTCGTCAGTAAGTGAACAAAATATAAGGTTGAATATAAGTTTTACTGACTGCAATGTACATTCAAGTCCAAGTCATTATTAACTATTTGTACTGATAATATTTTGAATTTTAAGCTGTACTGAGGAATGAAATCACCTCACCTGACATGTCACTCTGGACCTAACATAGTCTAGGTGAATGCGTAACAGGTTCGTGAGAGGACCATCACTTCTGACCTCGTTGTTTGAGATGCATCTGAATTTGGCGAGTCTGACTCTGGTATATCTGTTCCTGGTGTAAGGTTAAATTCGACATCATTATTACCTTCACTAGTCGTTCAGAATGTGAGTGAAAGATCAATAGAATGTAATGACCAATCACTGTGCTTATACTACATCTTAAAATATCACTTGCTTACTTATGATCTAGTTGCAAATACCCTTCAATCATGAGCTCAGTCAATACTAAAGATCTCCAACCGAACAGCACTCTAACACCGTATTACTGAGTGATAAGTAGCACCCCAGCCAGGAAATAAAGGTACTTAAGTGTTGCCCGTGCGTCTTATTCATCAATAAAGGTGCCTAAGTCTTGCAAGTGCTTCTTATTCATCAATAAAGGTACCCAAGTGTTGCAAGTGCGTCATTTGTATACCTGTAATATAATCATCACAGCAAGATGTAAAGTTGGGGTCTTAGCTGGGGTACACTTCCCCCTTCATGTTGCAATTGCAAAGACAAAAGGGCGGAGGATGCTCACAATCCAAGGACCCCGTAGTATCCCAGGACCCTACAGTATCCCAAGACCCCGTAGTATCTCAGGACCCTACAGTATCCCAAGACCCCGTAGTATCCCAGGACCCTGCAGTATCCCAGGACCCTACAGTATCCCAAGACCCCATAGTATCCCAGGACCCCGTAGTACCCCCAGGACCCAATAGTACCTCAGAACCCCAAAATATTCTAGGACCCACAATGCCCCATAAAATCCATTAGGATCTCTGTAGCACCCCCAGAACCCCATAGGCACCGTGGTATTCAGGAGGACCTCCTCCCAAAGGAGCCGTAGGACCCCGTAAGACCCCGTAGGACCCCAGGAGGCGGGAAACTAACGATCACGTCAGCGCGGCAAAGTGATTACCGCCATTTTTTTTGTCCACCAAGTTTGTATTTTTCCCGGAGGATTTAGGGCGTCCTTTATAAAGTTATCGCCATCTCCGCGCCATCCACTGCATCAACCAGCCATAAAACACCAGGAATTGAACAAAAACTAGAGGGAAAAAATCGTTTTAGGTCGTTCGGGGCGCAAGATGCGATGGCAAATCCGATACATTTTGAAACTCGAACTAAACACACTGGGAGAAAAAATTTCTGGTGACGGCCGCTACAAAAAAATGGCCTCTAACTGCCATATTTATCTTCAGACGAAGGGTCTTTTAATGCAATAATGAAGTTAATGTCATAATGAGCTTTGCTATCAGTGGAATTCATTATGGGTAAGAGGGGATAATTTAGTGGATAAATAAAAGGTTTGAAAGAGCGGCTCGTGGCAGCCCCTGAGCAGATGTTTCGCTCACGTCACCGGCGACGGGCGCACGTGAGCGTGACGTCACCGGTGTGGGCGGAGCCAGGGCGTGACGTCATAGCTCTGGCAGTGTCCCAACCCGTGCACACATTAGTGACTTTGACTCATACATGGATGTACACACATGTACACGCAATACTTCCACACACATGGCGATGAGCGCATGTAGACACGCGTTTCTTAGGTGTATCGGGCGACCTACACACATATACTCAAACACTAGTGTAAATATGCATACATACGCACATACTGTATTCATACACACTTCACCAACGTATATTTCTTTCAAACACACAAAACACAAAACTACTCGGCTATTTCTCCCCGAATGTGATGTTTTTCATCGATTTCTTCATTGTTTATGTCCTCTCCTGGCCTGCAGGGTGGCATGTTTCACTTAACACAATAATCTTTGGGTTCTTTTACTGCAGTTTTTGAGCTACGGTGAAGAAATTGTAGCACTGTAGCTGTTAGCGATGAGGGGAGGCCATGGCCCCCGCGGCCCGGTCCCAGACCTGGTCTTAACTGGAAAGGAAATGTTAGAGGAATGAGAACTAAAGTGTTCACCAAAGAGAAAATATCAACGGTTCTGTCAGAGTGCAAAATGTTTAACAGGCTTCTGTTTCACTTTTATATGACAGGAGGATAGTACCTTGTTGGATAGTTGCTGTCTACCAGGCTCTCTCCCTGGATGATTGATGTCTACCAGCCTACCTCCCTGTATGGTTGTTGTATACTAGTGTACCTCCATGTATGGTTGCTGTCTACTAGCCTATCTCCCTGTATGGTTGTCTACCAGCCTACCTCCCTGTATGGTTGCTGTCTACTAGCCTATCTCCCTGTATGGTTGCCCACCAGCCTACCTCCCTGTATGGTTGTTGTCTACCAGCCTACCTTCCTGTATGGTTGTTGGCTGATAGTGTACCTGCCTGTACGGTTGCTGTCTACTAGCCTACCTCCCTGTATGGTTGTCTACCAGCCTACCTCCTTGTATGGTTGTTGTCTGCCAGCCTACCTCCCTGTACGGTTGTTGTCTACCAGCCTACCTCCCTGTATGGTTGTTGTCTACCAGCCTACCTTCCTGTATGGTTGTTGGCTGATAGTGTACCTCCCTGTACGGTTGCTGTCTACTAGCCTACCTCCCTGTATGGTTGTCTACCAGCCTACCTCCCTGTACGGTTGTTGTCTACCAGCCTACCTCCTTGTACGGTTGTTGTCTACCAACCTACCTCCCTGGATGATTAATAACCATTGTGCCATATTTCAACTGTAGAAGTGTAGGAATGTAACCCTTAATGTAGTGGAGTCGATGAAGCGAGGTCTAGCGTGGCTTGGCACCTTAGGGAGTGTTGGCCCTGGCTCTTACCTCGGTGCCATCACCTTTGCTTGTACATTTGCTTGCAGCGATAATGGCACTCTTTTCGTTAGTGCTGCACATTTGCAGTAATGGTGTCACTGTTTTGACTATTGTAGCACCGTTCCAATGATGGTGCCACTCTTTTCACGACTGTACCACCTTTACAATGATTAGTGCCATTACTGTAGCACCTTCGTAATAAATGTGCCACTGTTTTTCACTACTGTAGCACCTGTGCAATAAAGGTACCACTGTTTTATCACTACTGTAGCACCTTTGCAATAAAGGTACCACTGTTTTATCACTACTGTAGCACCTTTGCAATAAAGGTACCACTGTTTTTCACTACTGTAGCACCTTTGCAATAAAGGTACCACTGTTTTTCACTACTGTAGCACCTTTGCAATAAAGGTACCACTGTTTTGGGCGAGGATGGTGTTACTCCATCAATATCATTAACATAATAATA